TCTACCGACTTCTCTCGTTAACAACAAAACAATGAAACGTCTCTGTGTGGCTGAGACCTAACGGGAGTGATGGCGTTGGTTGCATTGCCTGAAGCATCGCTCACTATGGTAATAGTAGAGGAGGTGATGGAAGCGTGGCACTCCTCGCGTCATGAAAGGATGTGTGCAGGAGAAAAGCCATTTCACAAGTAACTGCCAAGGTTGCATTCATGCCAAACCACCACTCTTTGTTCCACCACCACGGCATGACCGTGTCGACTTCCCGCGTTCTATTCGACATGACAGTGGAAGGCGGAGCACCGTCAGCACCACCGGAGCAGTGGTAGAGATACCAAGGAGAAACTCATCGTGCTTTCTGTGATTTTATCATCTTCACTGAGATGCTTTCTTCCATCCCTCAACTGTGTGTCTGTGGAGTGGTGATAGTGTTGTTGAAGTTGAGGAGAGGACAAGAGAGACGCGTATTTGCATCAAGCCTCCCATCAAGCTTGCGACCGACGGATTTCGCGATCAGAAGTCAAAGCCAATTCAGCTGTGTGGAGATGGCAAGGGAGGGATTGCACACCTCGTGATCGTTGTGCCGTGTGGAGGAGGTGAAGCTGGTGTGAATGCGTTGGGCTGTGCCGTGGGTTGAATATGCACCGTTGTCAAAGCGTTTGGTGGTTCAGACCCACACTTCAACGACATGATGAAGTGGAATACTAAAAACATTCCCTCTCCCTCCCTCCCTCACTCCCTCTCTCGCTCCCTCCCTCACTCCATAGTGGTTTAAGAAGGTCTAAACGAATTGCTGTTAAGCAGCAGAAGTTTGCGCTTCTACGTTAGGCTACAAAGTTAAAAGACACGGCTCTTGGTGGCATTCGTTTGCAATCGACTGTGGAAGGGCGGACGTCGTCCCTTCCGCCTCATGGAGCCGACCTTACAGCAATCTTCGAGGGCGCGTCCAAATCTGATAGCCCTCTCGCTTTGTGTTCGTTCAACCCACATCCCATTTGGTCGCCTCAGTCACATTGGTGAAGAGATCGGGGGAATTGGCGTGGCAGAATATGCAAATAGTTGTCATGGATGCACCTTCTGGGCTCTCTTGGACACCTCGACAAATCATTGCATAAGCACACCACTGACTCGTGAATACGGTGCGTGGGAATTGCGGCTTCGACTAGTTGGAGGGGATATGCGTGTAGCAGTGGTGGGAGGGTATGGAAGAGAGAAAAGTGAGTCACGTCAGTTGGATAGGTCATCCTGTTGAAAGCGACACTTCCATCAGCACAAGGAGACGGTTGGTTTTCATTCGATGTCTTGCCTTGTCTTGGCCTTGCCAATATCGACTGACGAAACGCTTCGCTTCCACATTGCTCATGGATAAGAGTGGAGCGAGTTGAGGTGGATGGTGATACCAAGTCTTCCCTCACCATGGACTAGAAGGCAGTGCACCACAGATTTGTGGATGGGAAGATGTGGCTAATCGGGTGGAGGAAGGCGACTAAGCCAAACGATCGTTTGAGCGAACGGCAACACTGCCATCGTTGGGCGCTTTAAATGCAATTCGATATGCCTGGACCAACAAGATGCGCCTCAATCAAAACCTTTCGTGTGTCAGTCGCACAGTTGAATCCAATGGTTACTCGGAAGAAAGGAGTGACGACGTGGTTGAGAAGTTGCAATCCACGGCGTGTTGTCATTTTATGTGACAAGCTGTAGACGACTTGAGGAAACCAGGGTAGCAGTCCACACAGCATCGACGTACTCAAAGTAGAGTGACGTGCTCAAACGAAATCGCCCTCATCTCTTACTTCAGTCTCCTCACTTCGTCTTGGTGACGTGAAATGTTAACGATAATGTTGGTGGTGGTACTCGACTGCAATTGGCTGCCGAAAGTGGAAGTCGCGTCCCCATGGCATGAAGTCCGCCTCAAAGTTCACTGCAAAGATAACAGCTAAAGTGGACAGCCTTGTCATTCCTCACTTGCTTTACTGTGCTAACTGCCAACTTGTGGATTGCCTTGCAAACGAAGCATTACCTCATGTTTGGTGGTGGCAGTGGATGGTGAGTGGTGCAGCGAAGCTCCACCAACTCATAAACATGGTGCGTGAGGATCGCAGGTCCAGTCAGTAAAGCGAGATCTTTTCACACACACCATAAGAACGGTGCTTTGATACTAGGATGGCTGAGCAAGAGGAAGCGGTGCCAGATTGCAGCCATACGATTGAAAGGGGAAGTCAAAGTGTGCGCACTCCACTCAGCACAGGACACGAGAAGGGAGCCAAGTCGTCAGCACATGGTGCCGAACCTTTTGTCATTTCGGATGGATATGGTGGAGGAGGCGGTGGTGGTGGTGGTGGTGGTGGTGATAATAAAGTGCTACCACTCCCCATCAATCAGCGCCACATCAATGGGTAACGATGCGGAATGTGGATGGCACACCGAATGAAGGTGCAGTGGCATCATCACTCACCTTCAGTTGTCGTTATGACAGCTTGCGGTCCGTCTTAAGGCAAAGCGGCATGGCTTATGAGGGTGCCTACGGCGAACGCGCTAGAATGGTGGCCAAAGCTGAGAAGTGGTGCATGAGGTGGAGGTGGAGAGAGAGAAAGAGAACTCACACTACTGAGAACGAGGTCGGGTGCGCCGTGCAGTCGTCGGTAGTGGTTGTGAATTTGGAGCATGTCTTCGGCGAATTCCACCGACGACTGTTTCGATGGTCGCTGAAAAAGGAAATCCGAGTGAGGCGTCCAGCTGCGTGATTACATGTTAGCGTCCTCGCCATTGAAGGTGAGAGGGCGGACTTGCAAAAGCGATTGTAATTTGGAGGCACAGATGCAACGACATTGAAGACTTTGAAGCCTGTGGAATGTGTCAGAGGGGTACAAGTGCCCTGTCTTACGCATTTGCAGGTCGCCTGAAGAGAGGGGGCGAGAGTGGAGGAGGGCAACTTCAGCTCTGAAGGTGTGTGGAAGTAGTATGGGGATTGGCTGCCCTCCTAACCTTTCTGACTGACGAAAGTTGAATTGCAGTTGTGTGAGAAGGGAGGAGAGGATGATGAAGAGGAGCTGTCTGACAAATTGGTCACTCATCCGACATTCATGTGGCTTGACACTTGATGCTGCAGCAAGTGGAAGCGCGTCACGCAAATGCAAAGGCACGAATTGTGCAATCTTGGATGCCTTCCAGCAGACCCACTCAAATCTGACTGGCATTTGTGGTGTCGGAATTCCCCTTCATTTGTAAGACTTCTCAGCGTAGCTACGATCAGTTATCTGCGTGGACGTGGTAGTGCACAAAAGTGGTGTGCGAAATTGCGATTTTGTAATTTGGTTTGGGAGTAAATGCACACCCATCAGGTGTTGACAGATAACAATCAGGGACTGGTGACTTTGTTGGGAATGGGGGGAGAGGAGGGTAGAGGAGGGATGGATGGGTGGAGGAGAGGGGAGAGGAGGGGAGGGGAGGGGAGGGGAGAGAGAAGGCGAGGGTTGTGTAGGTGGGAGCGAGGGAGAGAGGGAGGGGACAACGAGGAGGGTAGAGACGTAATCCCACATATGCTGGAGGCAGTCGCTTTTCATTTCAGAGCCATTAATTTCGCCTCGCCTGCAA